ATGTCGCTAATCTCCTCTCCTATAACAGCATAGGAGCATATCATTCCGCAAAAAAACATAAAGAAAGTGGGCCATTACTTGACTTAAGAAAATAGGAAAAAATCCATAAAAGTCTGTATCAGGATGAACTGCTCAAACATAACAAAACAATGCCTCGATATTAGTATCCAGATAATATGCCGGATAACATAAAAGAACAAGAACAATGGATGGAGGGAGATAAACTACAATATTTTTTAAACAAAATTAAAAGTACTTGATAACAAAATAATATATTCATAAATAGCTAGTTTAAGCAACAGATTCCCAAAAAGTTTTCAATGAACAAGAATGAAGCGAGTATAACAAATATAAATATATTTAAGCATCTGAAACAAAAAATATAAAATGCCATAATTACATAACAAGGATGATAGGAGCACAAATATTATCATCTATGAGATAGTTTCTTCATAAAAATACAGATCTAGCTAAAATTCAATATAATACAACTGGGCCAAGGATAGCATTGAAGAACAAGAATGGTGGATTTGTAGAGTATATCAATAGGCCAACGACAGCCGCAACAGGAAGAGTATTTAGGAAAATAATGATGGTGCAATTCAAGAGCTAGCTAGTTAGAAGTGGGGAAGTTACTTGGTGTTGCCTTAATAAGAGATCTTGTGGTAAATCTTTCCGCTTCTTCTAACTAGTCATTTTTTCTTCTTATTTTGAGAATTTGGACAACTTGGAATATTCAATATAGGAAGAGGTTCTCATTATTGGAACTTTAGTTGAGATTCATCGCCCCAAACAGCACCAGTCTCCAAAATTGCGCCTTTCTAGATTTCACATTGATACAACCTCAAGAATTCGGGTTAAGTTTACTGCCTTCATCAACCCTCTTCACAACTACCTGCATGCATTACTTCCCAAATTGCAAGTCACGATTTCTGCAGATTCAAGACATGGTTCCTTCCCAAAGTTCTAACAATTATTCATACATTATTGCAACTTTAAGATATCAGGCACTCCACGCACAAGCTGAGCCGACTTATTTTTGTGATATTTAAGAACATCACCAAACCTTCGATTTCCCAAATGCCATATTTCTCTATTCTTCCTATCAATCAACACAGATATGCAATGCTGCTTTCTAGTTTATCTTTACATCATTACATTCATTCTTCTTAAGAATTGCAAGAATAGGCTGCTTCTTTTGCTCTCTATTCACTCGAAAGAATAGAATTTTAACTGTTCAAAGCTATTTTAGTGAATTAAGAAATTCAATTCTTAGTAAAGCAACGTAGTGATGCCATCTATTTTTAATAGATTATGACAATTATTTGATCGATGGTTGTATTGCAAAGATAGTGTCTGCCTTTATGGTCATGAAAAAAATTAACACGAGGCTAAAAATTTAAAAAGTGACTCAAATTGCAATGTTCAACATGAATTATGGATAACAAGAATAAACCTTACTTCATGGCTGCAGAATGGTTTAGAGGGACTTCTCAATTATCCTTCAAGCAAATGCTAAAGAAGAAATGGCTGAGAACAACATCTACCTATTTGCAAAGCTCTTAACCAATTCAGAGGTAGCACCCGTATGAAGTTTCATGTCCTGCCCTGGATATTATGCCTCTGGATACTAGGATGATTGATATGATTAATGAGGATCCATTAACATGGCATTTTAGGAAGCCAAGGTATTCACAAGTATGAAGTAAGCATTATGCTGATTACTACAACAATTTCCTTTCATTCTCCAGAGAATCCAAAGAGTGGCCCTGAAGTTGGCACCAGACATGACGCTCCAAGGTTTAACTTATCAAGAATACCATTGAGCATATAATTCACATAACCTTTTTGTATCAATAAGGTTGCTACCAATTTAGTAGTTTGTTATCAGAACAATGAATACTATACATCGTTATAAGGATCAATATTTGTTGGCAATCGCTAGCAGCTCACTGCAATGATGGTACTTCAACTGCAATTGACTGAGAGGTACTCGTTAAGTTCACTGCTCTTAACGGAAGTCAGTTGAGACTAAATTGGAGAGAATACTCTAGTACAACCCCTCCATGAATGGTCAAAAATAACCCAGTAATGTGAATAGTTTGAGTTGATATAGTCTTATTCCTCTCCTCCTTTATGGACGCCTTCCCTGGTCTCCTCATATTCGGCTCAGCAAGTACAAACTCTTTCAACTTTTTCGCATTAAAGAACTCTTCTAAAAGGCTTCCAAGATGTTGGAACTCCTTAATATTATGCCCGTGGTAGCAATAATATACATATTACTTCTTTGGGTCACAAAGGAGGCTCCCAATTCCCATCAACACCGGCCCATTGATATATTCTTTACTTTATGGCTCAACTAGCTCTTCCGTTGAGACTTTTACAAGATTCATAGTGGCCTTTCCTTGCTTTGCTCGTAATGCTAATATTCGTGATGGAACTCGCCTCTCAAATGGACAAATTATTTTAATATTGAAGCACTTCCTTGCCATATGATTAACAAAGAGATTTTTTTGTCTTCTTGAAAAATGCTAGAATTTTGAATTAGGATGTCGCTAATCTCCTCTCCTTGTAGTAGATGAATCCACTCACACTTGTATCTTTAATAATAGCATGATAGTTGGAGAGTTCAAGTAGCTCAACAAGTGCCTTTTAGCTGCTAAAGTCCCAGTGCATATAAAAAAGAACCTTCCCTCAGGCATTAAGCCAAGATGGCATGAACCACAACCGAACAACATCTCTCACTGGAATTAAGTAATAAACTCATGAGCAACTGTCCCAGATCCAACATCATTTATAGAAGAGCAAGCAAATTGTTTAGCAGCTCTTATGTGCTAGCAAACTAAGTCACAATAACCACTTCGAACTAAACAAAAGAGTCAGTCACCCCAAAAACAAACAAGTGAACCACTTAAAAGCATACTCCTTCAAAATAATGAAGAATATACGGCATTTAAATATTTCATTAACATTCATTAATGATAAGGCAAAATCACATAAGTCAATGCGGTTGGATGGGTTGATTCTTCTCCAGTATATATCAAGGGATGGAATCAAGAACTTCTCGAGCGGTTTAGCCTCTATGATTTTTCTAGAGAAGCCATTATCTTTGCAGCTTCATCTTCACTTTTTCTATCCTCCTTACAATAGAAAGTAGACTCTTCACTAT